CATTATTTGAATAGTAATCAATCAAAGCTACTAAGCTAGCAAGTGAACATAATGAAAATGACTGAGCAGAACCACCTAACAATTGAACATGAAAAAAGAACACAAATGGAAAATGTAAGTTCAAATATTTTCGATCATTCTCTAATTTAAATTCCTCTTCATTACAAAAAAAAAAATAAAAAATAAACTGCTCTTCATGTCAAAACAGAAATAGTAGTCTTATTCACAAAGTGGTTTAAAAGTGAAGAGTCGAACCACTATCTTAGTTGCAAGTTATAGGGTTGTATAACCTTTCTCTTCATATAAACTGCAATACACCCAAAACAAATTAACCAAAGAAATAAGCATAAAAGAGAAACCAAAAGAGAGTGCAAGTTAAATCAAATTTAGAATTTTAAACAAAATAAAAAAATAATAATAAACTAACTACTTTGTTGAGTGAATTCTTATTTTGGATTCTAAATTGATTGTGTATCCAAATAAAACGAATTAGCATCCAAATCCTATAACATACTATACCCCTTTTTAGGTTCAAATTTGGTGGATTTTTGCCTGGGTCAACGGTTTGCTGACCAAATCTATGGCTTTGGGGGAAATAATGGTTCAGGGGTAAAACGGAATCGATCACTTGACTGATTCCCGGTTTTTCCGGTCCAGTAACCATGGTTCAGCCACATTGATATTTGATAAAAATTTAACCAACATTTTGACTACCTTAATAGGGTAACCATTACGTGGAGAATTTGGATGCCCACATATTCATCTTTTTAGGGCACTTGTGTCTCTTGTATATAAGGGTAAAATAGAAACTTGTGAATTTGCTAGATTGGCTGTCAACCCATTCATAGTTGTATTATTAATTGGGGTAGATTTGTAAATAAAAATCAGGGTGTTCTACCAATAAAAAAATGATCATTTTCTTATTTTTAAAATTATTAAATAGGGGGGTATATCTTAGTTTGACTGTTTTGTATTATTAATAGAGGTAAATTTGGAAATAAAAATCTGGGTGTTCAACGCATAGCCATTGTTCATTCTCATTTTTAATAATGAGATGAGATAATAAATTTGTATTATTAATAGGGGTAAATTTGGAAATAAAAATCAGAGTGTTCAACAAGGAGCCATTAGTCATTCTCATTTGGTGTATATGTTAGTTTGGCTGTTTTGTATTATTAATAAGGGTAAATTTAGAAATAAAAATTTGGGTGTTCAACGAAGAGCCATTGATTATTCTCATTTTTAATAATGAGATGAGAAAATAAATTTATATTATTAATAGAGGTAAATTTGCAAATAAAAATAAGGTGTTCAAGAAAGAGCCATTAATCATTCTCATTTTTAATAGTGGTAATAAAAGGTTTTTCTTTGGCCTCACATTGTTCCGTTTCATGATATACTGTGAGGCAACTATATCGTCATTAATGTATATTTGATGTCTCACATCTGTGAAAGATATTTGTACTTCCTTTTGAATTATAAACTTGGAGGGTGTTGGTATCAATGGAGTTTATTTGATAAACTTCTGGTACAAATTTGTCTCGACAAATGGAACAACGAAAGCCACTAGATGCGATTAGGTGTCACATGCATCAAATAGTACAAAAAAGAAATGCCCCAAAATGAAAAGTATCACGTTTAGTGTTGTTTATCTGATAAATGGTTCTTACATAAATTCAGAGAAACATTTATCGGTTAAATGGCTCAAACAAACAATGAATTGGTATCGTTGATTCCAAAAAAAGCACCATAAAGTATATAAATAATAAATTAGGAGGATAGTTTAAATTAAAGCAAATTGGGTTGGTCAAACTCAAACCCAAAATATATATTTAAAATTTTCTCTTATAAAAAGCTATGTTTCGGGCCGGCAGAGTAATTCCATACTTGTATATTAAATTATTGGGCAATTCAGGACAGGTTTTATGACTACTTCCTACAATTTATTTCCCATTTGTTTTTAAAACAGGGAATAATCAGCATCATCCGATGCATATTATTCTTCTTCCAAAATTTACAATCAAGTAGAGAATACGAGGAAAACCGTTAGTTTCATTAGATGTTCTTTATAATATAAATTTTCTGTGAGACTGGATTTTATGAAATAAATATAAACTATTTATACACGTTGAAAAATAAATAAATTAATCATTTTCTAGCAATCCTATTTGACGAGGTTTTGTTGTATAAAATCTTAAAGTTGAGCCATGGATGCGGGTACTAACTAGTATACTCTCCAAGGTATTCCCCTTCCTTTCCGTTCGGCTATCATCAATTTTATGTTCAGGCGGACTTGCCCTGACCGTAGCCCATCTCTCCTTTCATAGTTTTGGTCCGTCTACGTATTAACATTTTAATATTTTTGGGGGTATTTAACATTTTCCGCGTGTAAAACTTATTAAAGAGTCTACAAAGTACAACTAATCTTCTTGTACTTCACCTACTACAAATTTGTCTACAAAAACTTTGCCACGTGTATAAAATGACATTTTAATAGGTAAATGTTACATCAACCCTAAAATATTATAATTTGAATACATGATGTAATATGATCATACAACAGATGATGCGGCCCGGGATCTAAAGATGTGGTGGGCCATGTGGCCAACTTTAATGCTGCGAACTGTGCGAGGTGAAACTTTCTACGTAGAAAACCTTTGTCCCCTTTTCTTAAACAGCACTGATTTGAAGAAACTTCTTAAACAGCATTTGACATTCTTTATTTTTCTTATTTTGAAGATTTATCTACTTTTTTTTGGTTAAAATACTTTTATAAACATTGAGTTTTTAATTACAAAAAGTGGTGCAACTTTAACATGTCGGTGGAAGGTTATTTCATTAATTCAGTCTAATTGCGCTTTGATAATTTCTGAACATTCTGAGCCGCAAAACTTATTGCTTTGTATTTTAGTGTATCAACTTTTAAATGGTTGTGAGCTCCTCAAACTGAAATAGGTTAGTGCAATTTTGTTTGTACAAGTATAAATATATGAGAATGCAAATGAAAAGATATAAATTTTGGTTTTATTTTATTTTGGATTTTACTTTATTCTATTTTAGGTTTTATTTTACTTCATTTTTAATGCAATCAAATAAAATCTGGTAAAATTTCAAAACAAAATAAAATAAAAATTGCAGTCAAATCATTTGCATTACCATAGTTTTGCAACCCAAAGTTTTATATTTTGTATATATTTACACTGTATATACATATTTATATTAATCTCTTTTCAGACTAACCCTAAACAACAAAAACAATAACGCATTCAGTTCAACCCCCCGAACCTTTATTAAATTATATATAAAATATTATTTAATTTTCTAAGTTGAAAATAAATAGAGAACCCATTCGAGATTTTCCTTGATTTAATTGTAAAGTTTAAACAAATACAGAAAAAAATAATTGTAAGTTTAAACGTAATCATATATTTGCCCCTTTTTTTCTTTTTTCAAATGGATAGACTTCCTCTTTTCGTAGAGGTGTAAAACGGGTTGTACTGGACATGGACCACGTGCGGCCTGGGCCATGCATCCCTCCCCTGAGATATTTTAGAGAATCGTTCAGGGTGGTCCATGGGTTAAATCTTCGGTCAAGCCAGGCCATGGATTGGGTCAAAACTATTTATTTAAAAAATTAAAAAAAAACTTTAAACTTTTAATTTTATAAATTTTGACGTATACAATTGTTTATTTTATTAATATATTATATAATATATATTATTATATAAATAAAATATATATATATATATATATATATATATATAGATGGGCCATTTCAACCCGCGGGTCAGGAGTGGCACAATATGACAGTGCGGGTGCCAGCCCGACCCGCCGACCTGAAACCCTAAGAACCATCGGAACTCAAAATCGTGGCAGGCCGTGGTTACCCGATTTATACACCTCTACTTTTCCAACTTTCGAAGGGCGGATAATGAATGAAAATTTAAAAGTCAAAGGTCACAATAAGGAAAAAAAGAATAAAAAGTATGAATAAGGGTTCGACTATAATATACTGCAAAACGAGGGGTATACTCAGATAAGTGCGACAAAAAGTAGAAATCTTATGCCTCCCAAGCCTGAGAAGCAGAAGGGTGAAATAATTGTAGTTTTTAACCCACTCGTTGTCCAGTCTCTAGTCTCTGCTCTACCACCGTCCAGCGTAAAGACTAAAGACTGAGGAATCTCTTGCAGAGATCGAGACGTTGGTGTCTCTTCAGAGTTCAGACTCGGAAAGTAAAGCAGATATGCACATCCGCACGTGCGGGTTTTGTCTTTATAAAGCAGACTCACACGATGACGATACGCACTCACTCCCACACTAATAATTCTCCCCTCTTCTCCCTTTCTCTCTCTCCCCCTCTCTGCTTCGAGGTCTTAGAGCAGGGGACTTCTCTAAGGTACTGATCTCCTTTCACAGCTCTGAATTTGCTTATCGATTATCACCCCGTTTTCCATATTGAACTACAATACAAGAAACACTTCAAGATTGATTGCTTGCTGCTTTTCTTATTGTTTCTAATTTTATTTTTGTATTTGTAAGAAAGAATTTTGCTTTGTCCAAAGAGTTTGAAGTTTGCTGTGCGGGCGGATCGGCTTCATTTCATGATTTCTTGATGATAAATTCAAGTTTCTAAATTGTAATCGTTCTTGTATAAACGGTGTGGTTGAACCTTGGATTGAATGATCTTTTATGCAGGACTCAAGAGCTTTGTAATATCTGACTTTCATTTATTAGTTGCAACAACGAGTTTGTTATGCGGTTTTAGCTTTTTTTCTGGTCTAAGTTCGAGACTTGTGAGCTCAAATCCTGCTGAATCACTGCCTGTTTTTTGGCTGACGTTCTTATTTTCATCCGTTTTGTGTTGACTTCAGTCAACGGTAGTAGACAAAATTCCAAAAGGAGGAGCTCACCTTTTGCTTTGCAATATTTGTTTGTAACACGCGGTTTGGGAAATACTGGATTATTTTTTATCGTTTATGCGCATGGGTTTGACGCGTCGGCACCAATTTCTTATTTCCAGTTGTTCTTCTTCGTCCGCCTTTCCCCTTGGAGAATAAGTAGAGCCTAAATGCATTTTTTTTCGCTAAATGCATTGAACGATGTCTCAATCTCTTCTACTTGTTCTTCTTCGATGAACAGTAGGGCAGAAAGTTGCAATTTTCTATCTAGCGTTGAAGCCTCTGGTAGAAGGACTTTGAGTGCTCTCCAACAATCTAATCCATCTCTCTGTCTCGCCTCTTTTTTCCCCTTTCGCCGGAACAGAGGTGGAGATATGGTATCTTATTTCGTTTCTTTTCATTCTCGTACGAACTTTTTAACTTTCTTCTCTTGATATTCAAAAATCGATGTAGGCAACTCAGTTGCAACAGCTGTTTACTTCCTTTTGAAGGGTAAATAGAAAATCTCTCTCTCTGCTCCCATCTCGATTTTTAGATTTTAATAGAAAACCGATAATATACATGTTGGAAAGAATATTTATTATCTAATGGGCTGGGGTCTTTGTACTCTCAGACTCGAGTCGAATTTATTAATCATCTGTGGCTCAGAAGGCTTCCCAGTTCCGTGAGGGCCGGATCTTTGACTCCCCTTACCTCTTTCCCCGAGACTTTCAGAGCTCATATTCTTTTTTTTTTATTATTTATTTTAGAATTAAACTGTCGATGACTTCCTTTTTGCTTGCTAGCCTTTTTGGTTCGAAGATCTCGAACAAAATATTCATGAATCTCTGGGTTTATTCTTCTCTCACTTGGGCTTAAATTCTCGTTCCTCCCCACAAAGTCAACGTAGATAACTTGTTCCGTCGGGATTGTTCGGCAGTCTTCGAATTAAGGTCTAAGCTGGTTTTTATTCTCTGCAGTTGAGCCATCGGCCTCTATCAAGGATTTGTTAGCTGCTGCGAGGAGTCTTAAAGAATGTTGGAGAATATGGAGCAATTCGATTACGAGAAGGTGATAGAAGAATTCGAAGAACTGACAAAGGATGTTGGGAGGGTTCAGATAGAAACTCTTAAATGGATCCTAGAAGAAAATCGAGAGGCGGAATACCTGCAGAATCTGGGCCTCAACGGAAGGACCGACCCCGAGAGTTTCAAGGCTTGTGTTCCACTGGTCACTCACAAGGATTTAGAATCCTATATTCAAAGAATCGCAGATGGCGATGATTCCCCTATTCTCACAGGAAAACCCATAACGACTATCTCACTCAGGTGTTGTTTCTCTCTCTCTCTCTCTCCCTCTAAATTCCTTGGTTTCTAATCTATACAAGAGACCCCTTTAATTATGATCATATGATGATGGCAACGACTCGGTGATATATTGCTTGCAGTTCTGGCACCACCCAGGGAAGACCTAAGTTCGTTCCCTTCAACGAAGAATTGATGAGAACCACAATACGTATATACGAGACGTCATTTGCTTTCAGAAACAGGTAACAAGTTCAGAATTTCAGTTTTTTTAAGAGTTTTTTTTTTTTTTTTTTTAGTTTGTTGTTCCATAAACTTCACTTTTATTTCGGCTCCATTGCGACTTTATAATGAGTTAGACTACTGAGAGTCGAAATAGAAGTGAAGTTTCCTGAACTGATGGCCATGATATCTGAAGACTGAAGTCCTATTTATTAAAATTTCAGGGCAAATTATCAGTTTTTTTTTTCCTATTCTAGGATACGAGTGTAAATTGTACGGTGATCCGTGACCCCTAAAAAAAAATCGAAAAGAGGGGGTAATTTGTTGATTAGCCACTGATATTAAGAGGAAAAACTGTAACTTGCAGAGAGTTCCCCGTTGGAAATGGAAAGGCTCTACAGTTGATCTACAGCAGCAAACAATTCAAAACGAAAGGGGGTCTTGCAGCAGGCACCGCCACAACAAATGTCTTTCGAAGCCAACAGTTCAAGAAGACACTCGAGTCAATACGATCCCAATGTTGCAGCCCCGATGAAGTCATATTCGGCCCGGACTTTCACCAATCCTTGTACTGCCACCTTCTATGTGGACTTATCTACCGGGATGAAGTGGAGCTTGTGTCTTCCACCTTCGCCCACAGCATTGTGTTTGCATTCCGAACGTTTGAGCAAGTGTGGGAGGAACTCTGTGATGATATCAGAACCGGGGTTCTTAGCAACCGCATCGCCGTTCCTTCTATCCGAACTGCTCTGTCGAAACTTCTCAAGCCCAACCCTGAACTGGCGGATTTGATACACAACAAATGCTCGGGATTGAGCAATTGGTATGGCTTAATTCCAGAGCTTTTCCCAAATGTTAAGTACATCTATGGGATCATGACTGGGTCCATGGAGCCTTATTTGAAGAAGTTAAGACATTACGCCGGGGGATTGCCCCTGCTGAGCTCTGATTATGGGTCTTCTGAAGGGTGGATCGCGGCAAATGTCAATCCGAGATTGCCTCCTGAGTCGGCTACCTTTGCGGTGCTTCCTGATATCGGGTATTTCGAATTTATTCCTCTCAGGGAGAAGGAGGATCAGAGCCTGGATATTACTGCTGTTAGCTACTCTTTTACAGAAGCGGAGCCCATCGGCCTGGCCGAAGTGAAGATTGGGGAAGAGTATGAGATCATCCTCACCAATTTCGCAGGTATGACTGTAATGTTAGCAATAAAATAATTTTCTTTAGGATTCTACCCACTTTTTCTTTTGTTAGAGAGAGAAAGTGAGCAGCTGGGCTAGCTGTCATCCCCCTTGTTACTTTATGCAAGTTGATTTTTTTTTTTAACATACCCTATCCAACCAACAGTAGATTCCACCTCGGATATCTAAATGGGAATATATAAGATCAGAAAAATGGGAAGGTGGATTCCAATTATTCACTCCCAGTCTCCCATATTTGTAAGATGAGGAGAACTGGAGAAGTGTGGGTAGCGTGATACAGGAAAGGATTTTGGGATAGGTTATCAGAATTATTCAGCACTTGATAGTTAATTATTCAGAAGTTGAATCATGAATGACCAAACTGGTAGATGATACCCAAATCATGTGGAATTGTGGACACTTGTAGCCACCAGTTTTGAATGATTTTCAACTTACAGAGGGGAGGAATCTTTCCCCAGAATCACACTTGTAATCTGTTCACATTTGAGAGTAGAATTATTTTATTATTTCACTCGGTAAGGCTATAATAAATCAGTCTGAACAAAAAGCTCTCTTGTTTCTTGTGCTTTATTTGTCTCCTTGCTCTCTTTTTGTCTACATCTGTGACAATTACCCTTTTCTTCACATGATATGCGCAGGGGCTGCTACCTGCTACTGCTAGTTTTAACTTTTAACTACTCAGTTTTCTAATTATCTAGAATAGCTTACTTTGCCAGTTGTTGTTGTTGACATAGATTTTTCATTTTTGTGAGTAAAGCAATGGAAAAAGGGGAAATGAAAAGCTTTAACATATAGCAATATTGAAGTGTCTCTGTATTATTATCAGTTATACTAGAGAAGAGATTAAAATAGAATTAAGGTTCCCTGACCTGGAAATTTACTTATGTCTTACCATTTTAATGTGACATGCAGGTCTATACCGTTACAGGCTTGGGGACGTGGTCAAGGTAGTGGGCTTCCACAATTCTACACCAGAGCTCCAATTTGTATGCCGGAGGAATCTGCTACTAAACATCAACATCGATAAGAACACAGAGAAAGACTTGCAGCTAGCAGTTGAAACTGCTGGGAAACTGTTGTTGGAGGAAAAGGTAGAGGTAATCGACTTCACCAGCCATGTGGACTTATCAACAGACCCAGGACACTATGTTATCTTCTGGGAGTTGAGCAACGGGGTCAGCGATGCGCAAATCCTAAATGAATGTTGCAACTGTTTGGATCGATCCTTTGTAGATGCAGGATATGTTAGCTCCCGGAAGGTGAATGGAATAGGGGCGCTTGAGCTCCGTGTGGTGAGGAGGGGAACCTTCCAGAAAATTCTTGATCATTACCTGGGCCTTGGATCTGCTGTCAGCCAGTTCAAGACCCCACGATGTGTGGGCCAATCCAACAACACCGTGTTGCAGATCTTGTGTAACAATGTGGTCAACAAGTATTTCAGCACTGCTTTTTGTTGAAATTTCAAATTCCATGTCATAAACTTTGTTATTGTTGTGGCAATGAATTTCTTCTCTATATATGTAGTCCCCACTCGCCAGTACTTGAGCCCAAAACTCAAGGTCTGGGTTGGCTGATTCAATTCCTTACTTCTTTGGGCTTTGTCTGATGAGTCTATAAAACTAGGCCCAAGTAAAATGCTTCAAACACCCAAGTGGGAACCTCCACATCACATACTACTGCAAAATTTGGACCTCCAAACATCATACCCACAACTGTACTTATATTTATTGCTTGCCTTTTTGAGTACAGTTGACCAATCCTGATCTTGTCTGTCATGTCCCATGACCCATGTACTAACTAGTTGGTAGGAAGCTTCACCATGTTTTTTGGCCAGCAGCCCAACCAAGGTACCATCCCCAAGAGCTTGTACATTGAAAGAGAACAAATCCATTCAAGTCCAAACTGCATTTTACCGGGCTTTGTCCCTTCCGTTTGTTTATATTGCAATTTACTTTGCATCAGTACAAATGTATGAATACAAAAATTCTGCTTAACTTTTGTTTCAGGTTTTATTTTATTTTATTTGGAATGCAAACAAACAAGCCAGACTAAAACATAAAACATAATATAATCCAGAATTCGTACTAGCATATTATAGCACCAGTTCAATAATGGATATGACACAATAGAAAAGCAAAAAATTAGGATCCGCATGACATTTAACGTAATGGAATGATAAAACAGGATTCATGTAGCAGGCCCCATTGGGACCTATCGGATCTGCTCTTCACACGGACCTCACAGACACATCTTACCATGTTTTGGGAACATTTCCCATACTAGTGTATTATTATTCATAGGAGATGATCCCAATACATGGTAGGATGTGCCTGTGAGGTCGGTGTGAGGTGCCCTGTGTGAGAAAGAGATCCCAATTCCCATTATTGGGATAAGGCTTAGAAAATGATGATATTTTTGTACCAATGAAATTGAACTGCAATAAAAGATGGAAAACATAAATATGCAAGTATTAACCTTATATGAGATAATGTTGTGATCAAACCCTTAGGCAGTGCTTGGTTGCAATGCAAATAAATTTGCACTGATGCAAAATTATGGCAGTACAAATGATTTGAGTGTAAATCCTAACCTATTTTTGTTTCAAATTTTAGTTTATATTGTTTGATTGTAGTAAAAATAAAGTAAATTAAGACATAAAGCGGAATAAAGTAAAACCTAAAACAAGATTAAATGAGAATTTGCATTTTTTTTCATTTGCACTCCCATCCATGCATTTGTACTAGCACAAATAAAATTGCACTACAACCAAACACAACCTTATGAGAGAAAACATTACCTACAACCGTGGTTGCAGAATAATCCTGAGACCCCCTACTATATTGAAACGTAAACATGTACATTACATTTGTTTTAGATAGTGTATGCCCTTAGCTCCAATCAGATTGATGTACTTATTGTCATATATTGTAAATGTATAAAAGTGCATAATTGATTCATGTGATTTGGTGTGTTTCTGTATAATACCCTTAAACTAGACACTTATGAGACTCGTATTAGTTTAGAATATTCACAGCTTTTGGATAGATCTAGGGAGATTTATCCTGCCAAAGCTGACACTGATGTGCCACCAAGTTGATTGGAGTGGATTGTCTCAGCTACCAGGGTGAGACCTGAGGTACATGTAGTGTGGGTTTTCTTGAAACCCTAAACCGGACCAAATTCCAATATTGCCCTGGACCTTGGAGATAGATGGACAAAACCGAAATTTTGCACCTAACCCCTAGACTCGATTATGGTACTTCACTAGGTGTTGGATTGGACTGCCTTTGATATGCCAATCAGTGAGATCCTTAGAGGGGGTCAAAACCTAGGTATGTTGGGACAATCTGAGAACTCATATGACTACATGATCATAGTTACAGGATTAGCCCCTTTGTCGGACAAAGTGAATGATCGGGGAATGCACTTTCTCTGATGGAAACCTAAACTGTCGGCAATGGATTTTAAATGTGTTTGAAATTCAGTTTTGCAAAATATATTTATATAGAGATATACTTATATATTATGGTTTCAAATTGTTTGCAAAAAGGTTTTAATTCCCATGATCCATGTGAGTAGAGAGTGTAGCACTGTACCTTGTAGCCGAGGGAGGTCCTCTCTTGTTGGGCAGTGTATGATCATTAAGGGCTGAGAGATTAAGTGTAAGACCATTTAGGGATAATAAACCTAATGGGCTAATCTCACATAAGGTGGCTGGACTCATGGACCATCTAGTGTAGATGTTGGGCCCATTTAAGAGCCCATATTGATGGGTTCAGGGGTTTATTTAGCCAGGCCTTGTAACAGAGGCTTGGCTGAACCCATATGGCTTTTGTGGAGATCAATGCTAGGGTCTCACGCCATACAAAGAGAACCAAGTTAGCTAGCAGTTACAGGATTAGCTGATGGATAAGGTAAGTATTATCCATTTGAAAGCTTAATGGGCCTTAAAAGACCACATCGAATTGGGTATTTAATTAGGTTAAATAATAGGTGGCGAATTGGGTTTATAATCAGAATAGGATTAGCTGATGGATAAGATAAGTATTATCCATTTAAGAGTCTTGATGAGGGCAGATTTGGCCCTCCAGTGAAATTGTGACACGTGGCACCTCATGACAAATAGGCAACACCTAGGCAACAACTTACCAAGTTGGTGTCCCACCCGGGCACCGGCCTGGCTGTCCTGGCACAGCCTGGCGCGGCCTGCACGCGGCCTGCACGCGGCCTGGCCGACCTAGCCGACCTGGATCAGCCTTGCACACGACCCGACCTGGCCGACCTGGCAACCCATAAGACGCCCACCGATAAACTCGGCATGCATACCCCACGAGCTCGGTAGCTCACCAAGGAGCTCGCAAAGGAGCTCAGTAGCTCACCAAAGAGCTCGCCAAGGAGCTAAGCAGCTCTCTAAGGGGCTCGCCACCAAGGAGCCAGGCAGCTCGGTAGAGCTCGCCACAAGCAGCTTGGCATAGCCCAAGGAGCTCGACATAGCTCCCCCGGCCAGCTCGGCACTTGTAGGGTAGCTCGGTATAGAAGAGCAGTTTGGCGTACTGCAGGAAGATCTCCTGCCTGACAACCGTACCTGACAGATCTGGAGACTTGCGCCCACGTCTCTCGCCAGGTGGCACCTTGCCTGGCAGAGCCGTACTCTACAACAGTCGCCTGCACCCGCCGCCTCAGCTCTGACAGCTACGACAGCGATAGAGAGACAGAGGCGGTTGTACCTGACTTGACAGAGGCGATCACGCCTGATTTGACAGGACACCGCTATATAAGGACTCCTACCCCCAAAGGCAAAAGAAAAAAGGAAGAAATGGAGGTAATCCCTACTCTCTAGCTCTCTCATTCCTCTAATATCATCTTCAAGCTCTCGACAATTAGAATTCTAACTTAGGCATCTGAGAGTCCCCGCCAGGTAAATACCCCGGGCCCCCTGGTTCAGTTCTCGCAGGTTCCTCAGCTCCCACCGCCTACAAAGAGGAGGAAAAGATGGAGTTCCCGCAGGTCCCTCAGCTCCCATCGCCTACGAAGAGGAGGAAAAGATGGAGTTCTCGTAGGTCCCTCAGCTCCCGCCGCCTACAAAGAGGAGGAAAAGATGGAGTTTTTGCAAGTCCCTCAGCTCCCGCCGCCTACAAAGGAGAGGAGATCACCTCATGCAGAGGGCAGTTGGGTTGCGCGACACCAGGGAGCTCCACCATCCTCTGAGTTACAGGCTGCTTAGGAGCAGGTCAAATGACGAGTCCACCAAGGTAGCTCACCACCAGGGAGCTCAGCATAGCTCTTCCCCGGGCAGTTCACCATTAGGGAGCTCGACATAGCTCTCCCCAACTCGGTATAGCTCGGGCAGCTCGGCATAGCTCTCCCCAGCTCGGCATAGCTCGGGCAGCTCGACATAGCTCTCCCCCAGGCAGTTAGCCATCAGGGAGCTCGTCACCAGGCACCTCACCACCAGGGAGCTCGTCACCATGTAGCTCGTCACCAGGTAGTTCACCACCAGGGAGCTCGTCACCGGGTAGCTCACCACCAGGGAGTTCGTCACCAAGTAGCTCACCACCAGKCAGTTCACCACCARGGAGCTCCACCATCCTCTCCTGGGAGCAGGTCAAATGACGAGGCACTTAGCCAAAAAAAATTGATACATCACAAAAAAATGATACGTAACCAGAAACGATTACATCAAGTCCAGATTCAAATGCAGATTTGAATCAAAGGAATTCTTTCCTAATTAGATTAGGAAGTTGATCCAAAAGAGGATTATAAATAGGAGGGTGAATTCTCTTCACAGGGCACTCAACACTAAATTCTCAGTTCAACTTTTTTCCCTTTATTCTTGCCGCCACCTACCCTATTTGATCTCCATCTTGGACTAATCAATATTTGATCTTGATATTATTTCTTGCTAGAAGAAGTAATTTGAAGTTGCGCTCACATCCTTGGTGTGATTCTTGCTAAAGAATTGGGGTTCTTGCTGAAGAACCTCCCTGCTGATACTACCTCATCCTAAGCTGTGTCATCTTCAGTGGAGGACAGATTTGGCACTTTCTTTGAGTGTGAACACCTATATTGGGAGGAGCATTTGCATGGATTCCGTATCAGGTATCTCTCTCCCTAATCTTTGGTTCAGATCTGGTCTAGTTTGTTTCAAGAACGATCATTGAAAAATGTAGAAGTTTTTCTAAAACTGTGAATTGCATTCCCGGAAGGGAGAAATAAATTTCTGAAATTTCGCCTAGCATTCCTGTATGATTCATCCATCCATATGATGGATTATAATTAGATTAGGAAGTTGATCCAAAAGAGGATTATAAATAGGAGGGCGAATTCTCTTCACAGGGCACTTAGTACTAAATTCTCAGTTCAGCTTTTCTCCCTCTATTCTTGCCGCCACCTACCCTATTCGATCTCTATCTTGGACTGATCAAGATTTGATCTTGATATTATTTCTTGCTAGAAGAAGTAATTTGAAGTTGCGCTCACATCATTGGTGTGATTCTTGCTGAAGAATTGGGGTTCTTACTGAAGAACTTCCCTGCTGATCCTACCTCATCCTAAGTTGTGTCATCTTCAGTGGATGATAGATTTG